GCGCGACTGTTAAAGTTGAATGTATCGTAAAGTTATATTCAGAAAGAATAAACCAGTTTTATTAAGTAAGGACTTGTGTCGCTAAAGTTTCCTCGGAACGAAGTTACGGAAAGTTAATTAACAAACGGAGACGTAACAATATATATACACATACACACATGTAATGAATGGAAACCCTATGACCTGAGCGCTTTCAAAAGGAGAACCTTTCTTCTTCAGGGGTAAACTGAAGAAGAAAGTTACACCTTTTGAAAGTGCTCAAGTTGTAGTGATTTTATTCATTTCTATCAAGACTTCTTGAACCTATATGTTTTTCTAACATCATGAATACACACATGTAATATATTGTTACCAATATGTCAATGTATTTTACAAAATAGTAAAAATAGTAAGAGATTTGTACTTTGTAGGCCAGTTTTATGTTCTTTGATACAGTAGCATGTGTACCACGTGACTTACAACTTGTGTGATGGGATTATTAGTTTGACAGGGTTCAAAAAGTCAATAAAACAAAATATTAATAAATATAAGTAGATGTATACTGTTATGAGCTTTACACTATTTAGAATAAACATTTGTGGTTTCCTGTTACAATGTGCAGTCATTCTAGAAAGAAAAAAAGGGTAATTTAGATTTATCTCCTAACTTTTTATGGTAGTTATGAGATTGATCAAATTGACTGGCCCTTTGTGGAGTTAAGGTTGAGAAAATAACACATAAAATATAAAGTTTTTTGAAAATAAACGTTTGACATTTATTTAGGAAAGTTTTAGAGATTACACAAATTAAATTTGACAATTGTTAGATGAAGAAAAGTATTTTTAATTTTAAAATCAAAATCACTTTGCATGTTGGATAGTCATAATTTCAAAAGCAAAAATTCACGAGCTAATCTTTAATTAAAAGACTTAACTAAAAAAAATGCAATTTTTTGTGTATAAAAGCCTTGTAGCATTTACTGATAGTCTGTGAAATGCCATGAAGATACGCATACATTTTAAAAGTTGTGACTAATCTCATGGTTACTTTGGTGGTTAAGTAATAGGTGCAATGCCCAAACAAGGCTCTTAGTCAAAGAGTTAGAGCATTATTACTTGGTTTTGCTTAGATAAGTTTGTAGTTTCTTTATGTGTGTAGTTAATTTTTCAACAGTTATAAAGAAAGATGGTGAAAAGATTGGTGCCTTAGCACATGTAATAACACATTAAAAATTATGTTTTATCTATTAACATATTCTAAAACATGCATGATAAAACATCTTTTGGAAATTGCATTCAGATACTTTACCAGAGTTTGTTTGCACAAAATGAATGGCATTTTTCTGATATAAACACTTCTCATCATGTACTTTAGGTTTAAGTCTGATAGTTGTCAGGATTTAAACTTTGTCATATGCTATATGATAAATTATGCTGGTGTTTCATTTGTTGGCAAGTTTTTAGGCAATAAGAAATCAGTGCATGTGTGATTTTCACTACTTTTGTTCCTGTTAGACCCAAAAGAACATCAAATATATTGTTGACTGATTTTAACAAACATCGCCTTGTGTTTTGAACCGTTTGCATGAAGTACCTGTCTTGATAATGAATATTGATTAGTGCTATAAATAGATGTATATACAGACTAGATGTCATTCAAAGCTGAGAATAATCTATGTATGTAGCTTCCCATAAAAAAAAAGCCTAATTAAAATTTAAAATTGACTTATATTAAGCTTTGTTTATAGCTTTTAGAACTATTGTTTTCACAAACTTACATTGACAGTTTTTTACTTGCTTTTGAACAATATTACTGTAGTTAATATTTCAAAATAAAATCCTATCAAGTTCAATTTATATATACATTGTCAAACTGGTTTTATTAGTATGTAGATTTATTTTCATAATTTAAATTGAGATATAAATAAAAATCAAATACTGAATGGTAAAGTTTAGATTGTGTCAGTTGTAAAACTTGTGTCACAATCTATGGAAAACCAAATACTCGGAACCAAGTTACAAAATATATAATATTGTGTCATCTTGAATTTTTATTTTCAGTCATATTTTAAAAAATAATAAAACAAGTATTAGAGACATTATGTTTATTTAGTATCACAACTTGTGCTTATCTGAAGTAGTAAATATTTTGATCACTCATCAATAGTTGAAACATTTGAAGTCGGGCCCTTCCATTGAAAGAATCATCAAGTGTTCTTTTTGTTCTGTAATCAAGCATCTTCTTCACAAGTTGTGAATTCAATTATAAAATTTTCTTATCAACATTTGAAAAACTTTTTAATGAAAGAAAGTAAAGTATTTACGAAACAATTTTGAATGTTTCACACTCCAAAAAATAATAGAAAAACTAAGTCAAATTCTAGGAATTTTTATAAGCTGAAACTCGATAATAGTTAAGTAATTATATAGCTGGTTCAATGTTATATGCAGTTTGGTTAAGTATTTCATTATTCCAATTATTTAATGATTGATTAGGATAGTAATGAGCAAAATGTTACTTAATTTGTAAGCTTAAAACATATTGAGTATGGCTCTTAATATTTATACAAATAATAACCTTATGATCTATTGAAATGGACACTGATCTCAACAAAGTTGAAGTTCTAATGTTTCAGCTGAGTTTTCTCTTTTTCTGATAAGGTTAGGTCTTACTTGGGCTTTGTTTATGCCCTTTTGGAAATCCCAAATGTCATTGTTTGTTTTTTAATTCAGCAACTGATGTATCACCACCTTGTCCATGAAATTTCCTTCATTTCTCAAGATCCAGTAGACAACAGATCTTTTGGTTACATTTTTGGTTCACCAGATACAGGTCATCAGTTCATTGCTATCAAAACTGAAAAACCGGTGCGTATCAGTCATGAACTGGTTGTTTACAGATTCTATCTATGCATAAGTAATGTGAATACAAACGCTAAAATATATGATAGTACTATTCATGGATTGACTAACATAGTTACTTAAGTTCCAAGTTGTAAAAATTCAGAATATAAGCCATGAAAAAATGTAACTGTAATTACTAACTATAAAAATTGTCAGTTTTTTATTAAGTTTAAAATTCCAAGTTTAATTTAGAACAGTGAAGATAGTAAGTGTACTTCTAAACTGGTAAGATGGTAAGAGCACTTCTGAACTGGCAAGATTTTAAGAGCACTTCTGAATTGGCAAGATGTTATGAGCACTTCTGATTTGTTAAGATGTTATGAGCACTTCTGATTTGTTAAGATGTTATGAGCACTTCTGAACTGGTAAGATGGTAAGAGTACTTCTGAACTGGCAAGATGGTATAAGTACTTCTGAACTGGCAAGATGGTAAGTGTACTTCTGATCTGGTAAAATGGTAAGTTTACTTCTGAACTGGCAAGATGGTTAGAGTACCTTCAAAGTATTTGTTAAATTTACTTTAGGCTGCAAATATGACTCTTAGTGTACATCTACCTTCAAATAAAAAGTGCTGTACATAATAATTACATTATTAAATTGTGTTTATTTTAGTTTCTGACTGAATTTTTCTAAGTAAATGATTTATGTAGGCTTCAGCGGTTACACTTGTATTAAGGGACTTGTTTCAAACTGTTCTTGAGAAGAAAAACAAAGAATTTATTCAAGCTGACAAAGAAGATTTGCAGAGAGCTGTCAACAAGTCAGAATCTGATCTCATGCTGTCCACTGATAGAAATGTCACAGAAGAAGCCACAGTAACAGACTCACCTAATCTAGAAAGTGAATCAAACACTAGGCATCAAAAAGTATGAAACAATTATTTTATTAAAAGAGAGTTTTCCAGAACTGGTGTCATGAAATCTTAACCAACTTTCATTAACAACTTAAAATATGTATAACTAACTTATTCATCTTGTTCCTATATCTTACTGATGGATACAGTTATTTATAACACCATCCCTTAAGTCACATTAATGATATTTTCATTGATTATAGAAACTCCCTCGCCAGCACAGTGTGTAAAATACATGTATGTGTGGACTTGCATGAAAAATATGACTTTCTATTTATATTGTTTAATAACTAAAATAACTGTTTGATTTTACATTATGTCAGTACCTTTAAATATATCAGGTAATATTTCCATTAACATATGGCTGTAAGGATTACTTTTGATTTTTTTAGGTGTAATGTAATGGTGGACTGTGAACAACACATACTTTAATGTGTAACATGTAACAGTGGACTGTCAACACCACAAGCTTTAATGTGTAACATGTAACATGGACTGAATATCACAAACTTCAATGTGTAACATGTAAGAGTGGACTTTGAATATCACAAGATTTAATGTGTAACATGAACAGTAGGCTGTGAACACCACATGCTTTAATGTGTAATGTAACAGCAGACTGTGAACATCATGGTTTAATGTGTAACGTAACAGTGGACTGAGAATATAACATACTTTAATATGTAACATGTAACAGTGGACATCACTAGTTTTAATGCATAACATGTAACAGTGGACTGTAAACATCACATACTTTAATGTGTAGCATGTAACAGTGGACTGTGAACATCACAAGCCACTTTGTTTGTCCAATGAAGAAAGTAGATAGAAAAGATTTATACTTTCATCCACTTAATTAAAGTGTTCATGTACGATGGCTCATTAACAATGAGCTGAATTTTTGCCAGATATTTGTATTTATTTAATATGTTTTGAAATATTAACAGCTCAGAAATGAATATAATGTTTTAATTGCATTAGATAAAGTATTACATAAATGCCAGCATTTTTCTTTATTATTGATGTACTTATACTTTAGCAGTATTCTTTGAAGAATTCCAAATTTTACAGTCACTGGTTGTTTTGAATGATTTAATCTATCAAACTAAATTTTTTTCATATTTAATCAAACATCAATAGCAACAAGAAGAAAGCCCGCTCCAATCATTTGACCAGCCATCTCCTACGAAGCAAGAAGTCGTTAATCAGTTGAAAGAAGGCTCAATGATGTTTGATAGTGGAGCTTCGGCTGAAAAAGATGGTGCTGGAGTTACTAGTTTTGTACAAGTTGATTCTTCAAATCCACAGCCAGGAAAGTCTTCTAATGGAATGGAGAAAACTAGTCATGCTACATCTGGCCGTAATTTAGATTCTTCTAAACAATCTCAGTCTATGTTCTACGTTCTAACCGAGCTAGATTCTCTGTCAGGTCATGATAAAGTAGCCTCAGCAACTAATCATGTGAACATGCTAGAAACTTCACAGAAAGACACACGAGGGAATGACATGATTGAGAGTAGAATAGAAAATGTTTCACCTCTTGAAGTGAGTAAAGAAAATAATAGTAAAAAGTCTTTCAAGTCTCCTTGTGTTAATATGTTTGTGCCATCATCACCATCCATGTCATCCCATTCCTCTGAATCTAGCAAAGAGTCATCGTCCTCATTGTCTTGGGTACAGTTTGTAGATGAACCCACTTGTCACTTGAAGACTGTTGTAGGTCAGGACTCTAGTTACTCCTACCTTTCAACATCTTGCAAGCCTAATGCTCTGTCATTTTCTAGTAACCAAATTCCTGATGTAAGGCAGTCAGTTGATATAGATAAGAGAAGTGAAACAAAGCATCAAGTTCAAAACAGTTCATCTTTAGAAAAAAAAATGTGTTCTTCATCCTTACCACATTTTGATGAATCAGTCATTTTTGCACATTCATATATTTTGGAAAAACCAAAGTTTTTTAGAGACACTGATAGTATAAGTCATCCAGCTATTTCTCCAGAATGTGATGTGACAGAAGTATCAGCTGTTAATATTAACGAACCAACAACTACTAAGAAAGTTCTAATCTCTGACATCACAGACACATTATCTAACCACATTACAGATAAATGTAGAGTCTCAATAAGTACAGATAATTCATTTTTTCCTCTAGTTCCAGATAGACCTAAAGCTTCTTCAGTCTCAGAAACTACAGATAAACCAACAGCTTCACATCTTCCAACTATTACAACAGAACCTACATTTCTTGAACATGTATCTCATCCAGTACTTGCAGATGATCAGATTCTTGGAGAAATGTCAACAATGAAACATAAAAAAACAAGTTTTTTTCTAGATAATCAACCTGCTTCAGTAGAACTGCTTAGGGCAACAGTTCCTGTAGCTGTAGATAGAGATAGCACATCAGTTCCAATAGCTGTAGATAGGGATAGAATAATAGTTCCAATAGCTCCAGATAGAGATAGCACATCAGTTCCAGTAGTTCCAGGCAGAAATGTAACAACAGTTCCAGTA